TTACGGAAAATAGTAAAGATATATTAGGGAAAGTTACAGATTAGTCTCAAACCTTTTCGAAGGCCAAAAGGTTTTATTGGGGCAGGCCGAAGGCGACCAGCCGTTCCATTAAATTAAGTTAGGGAGAGAGAGCGGATCAAAGCCTTACCCACACCCATTTGTCTCCACTCTGTTTACTCAGGTTAATTTTGTGCTGGGTGGCTCTCCCTGGGGAAGATCAAAAGGGAATTACCTGTTAATAGCATTTACTCTGGGCCCAGGAACCTAAAGCTTTTGTCAGTCGTAAAACCACTCTTTTAACCATGTTAATTATCCACAAGTGTGTTAACTTAGAACCTCCGTTGTAAAATCTTAAAGGAATAAATGTGTGGACAGACAGAGGGTCTGGTTGGATTGGATGTATTTCGCCTTCTGAAAGCAGCCAGCGGGCATCCCTAGCCTACAGAAACTCCATAACAGTGTGAGAGTGCATTCATTCATCCATCACTTGAGTCAGGGTCTGCAGGTCAGGCTTCCGCAGATGGTGTCCCACGTCCCAGGTGGTGACCCTGACGTGATCGAGGGCACATTACTCTGTGCCAGCAAATGCTCACAAGGGTCGCAGGAGGGAGATTTTCATATCTCCACTTTATAGATAAACCAAACTGTGTAGACCAAGTTTCAGAGAGGTTAAGGAACTTGCCCAACGTCACAGAATCAGAAAATGTTGGCACTGTGCCAGCTAACTCCACTGCCTCCTTCTATGATTCCTTTTTGTTTTCTTTTTTTTGAGACGGATTCTCACCCTGCTGCCCAGGCTGGAGTGCAGTGGCACAATTTCAGTTCACTGCAAACTCCACCTCCCAGGTTGAAGCAATTCTCCTGCCATAGCCTCCACTAGTAGCTGGGATTACAGGCACCGGCACCACGCCCGGCTAACTTCTGTGTTTTTAATAGAGATGGGGTTTCATCATGTTGGCCAGACTGGTTTTGAACTCCTGACCACAGGTGATCCACCCACCTTGGCCCCCAAAGTGATGGGATTACAGGCATAAACCACCGCACCCAGCCCATACCCTCTTCTTATCTTCCTCTTCATATCTCAGTGCCTAGAACTGGGTTATCTGATGACCTCTAGCTGCAAGGGATGCTAGGAAAGCAAAGGGAATAAGATCCCTCTCTTGGGGCCAGGCACTTTGATGCCCAAACAATATTGGGTTTCAGTCGGCAGGGAAGGGGGCAGGGAAGGAGGAAGGGCTACCGAGAAACCAGGTTATGGTGTCTGACACGTAGGAATTATGTGCTCAACAAGAGGAGCCTTAAATGCCTTAACCCAAGAGGGGTTTCAGGCCCTGAGGCAGGGCTAAGTCATGCTCCTTGGTGCCACATTCAGTCCCGGAGATCTGCATTCGTGTCCTCCTCAGGTGTCCACTGAATGACCATACTGTGGCTGGCACCATGTTTTAGATTGTGGGGCGGGGGGCATAAGGAAAATGTCCCTGGTCTCCAAAAGTGAGTAGGGAGTTGGGTTTTTGGCTCTGCAGGAGCAAGTGACCAAGACCCCAAACATTACATAGTTTGCATTTTATTCCCATCAGCCAGTGCTGCTGTAGACTCAATTTCTGCTGCTTTTCAGGATCACTGGCCTGCACAGCAGAGGCACAGTCTAACCATAGCTCAGAGAACCAGATGGTCCCAACTCACAATGGTTTCACTGACAATTTTTGAACTTTATGATGTTGTGAAAGCGATATGCATTCAGTAAACGTTAACAAATTGCATGAGATATTCAACACTGTCTTCTAAAATAGGCTTTGTGTTGGGCTGAGTGCGGTGGCTCACACCTGTAATCTCAGCACTTTGGGAGACCGAGGCAGGCAGATCACCTGAGGTTGGGAGTTTGAGACCAGCCTGACCAACATGGAGAAACCCGTCTTTACTAAAAATACAAAATTAGCTGAGTGTGGTGGCACATGTCTGTAATCACAGCTACTCAAGAGGCTGAGGCAGGAGAATGTCTTGAACTCGGGAGGTGAAGGTTGCAGTGAGTCAAGATTGAGCCATTGCAGTCCACCCTGGGCAACAAGAGCAAAAACTCCATCTCAGAAAAAAAAAAAAAAGGTTTTGTGTTATTTTGCCCAGCTAATGTAGGCATTCTGACTGAGCACATTAAGGTAGGCTAAGCTAAGCTATGATGTTCACTAGGTTAGGTATATTAAATGCTTTTTCTTTTTTTTTTTTGAGACAGGGTCTCACTCTGTCACCAAGGCTGGAATGCAGTGGCATGATCATGGCCTTGACCTCCTGGGCTCAAGCGATCCTCCCACCTCAGTCCCCTAAGTAGCTGGAACAACAGGCGTGTGCCACCATGCCTGCATGATTTTTGTATTTTTAGTGGAGATGGGGTTTCACCATCTCACCTCAGCCTTCCAAAGTGCTGGGATTACAGGCATGAGCCACCACATCTGCCCATTAAATGTATTTTCAACTTAAGATATTTTCAACTTAAGCAATGTGTTTTATCAGGATGTAGCCCCATCATAAGTCAAGGAGCATCTGTACTTTACTCCCTGCAAATCTCTCTGGATTCTGACAACAGCAGCCTCTACCAATGACCACTCTTCCTATAGGGGCAGCAGAATCACCATGGGTTGTGAAGGGGTCTAGAAAATGCCACTGTGGCATAAAAATTATTTTGAGCAGAAGGCATTTGAGAATGGGCCTTTTTCTTTCTTGCTTGCTGGAAAGCAGTGGTGCGATCATGACTTACTGCAGCCTCGACCTCCTTGTGCTCAAGTGATCCTCTCGCCTCAGCCTCCCAAGGCTAGGACTGCAGGTACATGCCACCTCCTGGCTACCCTTTTGTTGCTGTTGTTATTGCTGTTTGTTTGTTTTTAGACACAGGGTTTCACCATGCTGCCCAGGCTGGATGAGTACAGGCTCTTTTCCAAACTCCATCTGCCTAAATGCAGAGCCCTGCAAAAGAGCTCCATTGTCATAAATCCCCTTTCCAGGAGTTTCTCAAAACCAGGGAAAATGGACTCATTGTTGAAGAGGAGAAAAGTCAGCACCACACCTAAACAGGTCAGCCAGGTGTGGTAGCTCACGCCTATAATCCCAGCACTTTGGGAGGCTGAGGTGGGCAGATCACGAGATCAGGGGTTCGAGACCAGGCTGACCAACATGGTGAAACCCCGTCTCTACTTAAAAATACAAAAATTAGCCAGGCATGGTGGCGCACCCCCATAATCTCAGCTACTTGGGAGGCTGAGGCAGGAGAATCGCTTGAACCTGGAAGGCAGAGGTTGTCGTGAGCCAAGATCGTGCCATTGCACTCCAGCCTGGGTGACAGAGCAAGACTCCGTCTCAAAACAAAACACAGAACAGGTCATGAAACTACCAAATCTCCCATTTTTTCTCCTAAGGGCCCATTGATCTTTCCTAAAAATTACTTTCCTGTGAGTGCCCTTTCTCCTCCTCCCCTTCTTCTGTTGAGACGGTACATAATCCTCAAACTCTAACTTCCTCCTAGAGTAACATTTTTACGTGAACTCCCCCGCATTCTGAATAAAAATCTGTTGTTTCTCTTTTATCAGTTTAGTTCTCAGGCCTTCCAATACTGAATCTAAGAGAATGGAGGGAAAGTTTTTCCTCCGCCGACACGTGGAACCAATTTGATCACATCACAACTTATCTTCCCCCCAACTCCCTTCCTTTTTTGTTTTCTCCATATGATGCTAAAAATGTTTATGAAAAAAATATTAACAACTTTGTTTTAAAGCATTTTATGTTCCTGGATGAAAATATTCAATATTGGAAAGAAACCAAAATTTCAGCTGGGCACAGTGGCTCATACCTGTAATCTCAGCACTTTGAGAGGCCGAAGCAGGATTGCTTGAGGCCAGGAGTTCAAGACCAGCCTGGGCAACATAGTGAGACACCCCCCACCATCTCTACAAAAATCTTAAAAATTAGTTAGGCCTGGTAGCACACACCTGTGGTCCCAGTTACTCTGGAGGCTGAGATGGAAAAATCACTTGAGCACAGAAAGATGAGGCTGCAGTGAGCTGAGATGGAGCCACTGCACTCCAGCCTGAGCGACAGAGTGAGACCCTGTCTCAAACAAAACAAAATAAAATCATAAAATTTCCTCAAATTAATTTTTTTTTTTTAGACAGGGTCTTGCTTTGTTGCCCAGGCTGGAGTACAGTGGAGCAATCTCGGCTCACTGCAACCTCCACCTTCCGGGTTCAAGTGATTCTCCTACCTCAGCTCCCCGAGTAGCTGGAACTATGAGCATGTGCCACCACGCCCAGCTAATTTTTATATTTTTGGTAGAGGCACCGTTTCACCATGTTGGCCAGGCTGGTCTCGAACTCCTGACCTCAGTGCTGGGGTTATAGGCGTGAGCCACCATGCTTGGCTCAGAAGCTTTTCAGTATGTAGTCACATTTGTTTATTTTTGCTTTTGTTGCCTGTGCTTTTGGTGTCTAATCCAAAAAATCATTGTCAAGATGAATGTTGCGTAATAGTTCCCCTGTATTTTCTTCTCAGAGTTTTACGGTTTCGGATCTTACATTTTGAGTTTATTTTTGTGCATGCTATAAGATAAGGGTCCAATTCCATTCTTTAGCATGTGAATATTCAGTTTTCCCAACACCACTTATTGAAAAGACTATCCTTTCCCCATGGTGTCTTCTTGGTGCCCTTGTTGAAACTTAGTTGACTGTACAGGCTTGGGTTTATTTCTGGGCTTCGCATTCTCCCCTTCCTTTTCTAACTTCTTAGACATTGGGTATCCTTGGAGGCTGAGTGTCCAGCCTGCCACCTCTCCTGTGGTCATTTCATAGGTTTTCTCTGAATGGGGAGAGCTCATGTGACACGATGGAAATCTGGTTATCTGTTTGATACCTTTAGTACAGGATAGCAAATTCTACCAAGACATGGTTCACATCATTTTTCTGTGACTTACAAGGGGGTGTTCTAAGTACAACCATAGCTTACCTCCAAACTCCCGAGCCCTTGCATCCTAAGCCCAACATCCTGAAGGGCACGTTTGGCTCAGTTCTGGTGGCTGAATATGGAACCTTAGGTCCAAAATCTGAATTAACTCCAAAATGTAACCTGAATATAATGGGCACTACACACAAACAAACAAGCTAGCATCTAACTGGAAAAGCCTCACACACACAGTGAGACTTCCTAAAACTCCACTTGACCCATTATCTCCCCAACCCCACATCGCAGTCGCTGCTCCAGTCTTTCTTTCTCACTTTCCTAGGCTCTCCTTCCTTTCTTTCTTCCCTTCTCTTTCCCCTCTTCTCTTGCCTCTCAAAAGATTCAGATTCAGCACTTTCCAGCTGTCTGACCTTGAACAGGTTGCTCAGCCCTCTTTCCCTACCTGTAAAACAGAGAGGATAACAGGACTGACTGCACGGGTTTGTTGTAAGATTAAATGAGATCATGTGTGTAAGGCCCCTGGCATCTAGGAAGTGCTCAATAAACACCATCAATTCTTTATACACATGGAGGTTTTGTGTTCCTTCTTTCACATTTCTGAAATTTAAGGTCATGGAATATCAGGTATAAACAAGGCTTTCAGGGGGTAGCTTATAGACTGGGCTGAAGGCAGAAAGGGGTTGGGGTGGGAAGGGAGCTTTGGTCTCCTTTGGGGGACTTTCATTCATGCCCCCACTGGGGAAAGACCCCCAAGCCCAACAGTGTCCCTTCCTGCTTCCTCCCTCATTTCACCTCCCACCTGCCAGAAACCTGTACCATGCCCACCCCAGCCCAGCCCACTCAGGCCCCAACTCTGTGGGCTGCAAACATTGAAAGCTCTTTATTTCAATGATGGTCCATCACTACTTCCTCCTTCCCTCCACTAATGGCGGAGGCTCTGGGGAACAAGGTGGAACCCAGAGCTCTGGGTAGGGAGGAGGGCAGGCGGAAGAGGAGGAGGCAGTAAGAAAGAGGGAGCACTAGAAGAACATTCTGCGGGCCAACGTCTTCTTTTCAACTTTCTGACAAAAGCCATAGGTGATGCTAAGCCATTTCGCATTCTTAGGATATGCGCAAGTCAGGTTCCGCTGGCAGGGACACTCTCTATATTGGCCAAAGAATGCCTGGGAAAGATAGGACTTTGACCTTGACCTTGGAGGCAGCTCTTCCCTTAGCCCCTAAGCCCAGCCCAGCCCAACTCCAGGGACCACGTGCTTGCCCACAGCCAGGAGCCGGGGATAAAGGATAGCTTGCCAGCTGCTCAGAGTGGTGCCTCTGGCTGCCTTCTCTAGGCTGGCACCTGGATTGCTCACTGCCCTCCCAGCTCCAGTCTTTGTCACCCTGCCTGCCACTGACCCATATGGCTGTCCTAAGTCCATGAACACACCATGGTGGGGCCTCTGAGTCTTGTCTTTAAATCCTTCTATGGCCAAATCAACTCCCTCCCCCACACACCCAGTTCAGAGGCTGCCTCTGCCCATCCTCCACCAGGAACACCCAGGCCACAGCAGAACTCCTGGGCTGGATGTAGACGGGGTCTGGGGCAGAGGCCGGACCTAGATGTGCTCATTTACTATACTACTTTTGGGGTTTGCTGAGAGGACCCCTGGAGAATGAGAACCCACATTAGAGAGTGAAGCATCGCCTTCCCACCCACGTCCAAGATTCCAAGTCCCTAGGGTGGGCTCCCATATTGGTTCCGTCAACAGGCTCCCCCAGAAGGCTTGGAGGTGCAGTCCCACAGGAGAATTCCAGGCTCCAGGGCATTTCCGCCTACCTACGCTTCTTCCTTCTCCAGGAATCTGCACCCGCTCTGGCTCCTCCTTCCCCTGGATCCCCTCTGGCTCTCCCTGGGAGCAGCCGATACCCACCTGCACTTGACACAAGCTGCTCTCGGACCCCTTCTCCGTGCAGTGCGCCTCGCAGGTGTTTGGAGCCTGTCGGCAGCACCCAGACTTGCAATCCTGATTCCGTTGGCAAAACTCCTTGAGATCCTGCAGGGAGGGACACGGCGTCGCCCGGCTCCACTGCCCGCCTTCCGCCCAAGCCGCCCATTCCCAGGGCTTTCTCCCTACAGGGTTCCTCCCCAGACTGCATTCCCACCAACACCTCTGGCTCCTGCCAGGTAGGGCGGTCTCTACCTGGGGTCCAGGGTAAGTCTGTGTAGACAGACGGTGCCTGGAGAGGACTGAACAGTTTTTTAAAAGTTTCCTCTTGATGCCCTCAATATAGGTTGCTTCTCTTACACAACAGGGTGGTCTAGACTTTCCAATCTCTCTCTTGCACTTTTCTGCTGCAGAGCCTTCTCTCCCAAAAACTCACACTTACCCTTTCATCTGTGCTTGATGGTCACCTACATGCATTTCCCCCCCGCCACCCCGCACCCCCACCCACACACACATCAATGACCTCCACCCAGTATTGGGGCTTAGGACATTAATTAACATGATTGATCACAGCTACCCAAAATCTCTCTGCCTTACAATTTCAATAATCATTCAACAGGTAAATACTGAACAGTGCCAGGCACTGAGAATGAAGGTGGAAACAAAAAACAGGAGTCCCTGTCCACCTGCAGCTGACATTCTGGAGCAGCACTGTCCAGCAGAGCTTTCTGCAATGATGAAAATGTGCTTTTTCTGCTCAGTCCAATAGCCACTAGCCACTACTGAGCACTTGAAATGCGGTAATGCACCTAGGAGCTGAATTTAATTTTTTTTTTTTTTTTTGAGACAGAGTCTCTCTCTGTCGCCCAGGCTGGAGTGCAGGGGCCGAGTCTCAGCTCACTGCAACCTCCACCTCCTGGGTTCAAGTGATTCTCTTTCCTCAGCTTCCTGAGTAGCTGGGATTACAGGTGTGTGCCACCACGCCTGGCTAATTTTTGTATTTTTAATAGAGACAGGGTTTTGCCATACTGTCCAGGCTGGTCTTGAACTCCTGACCTCAGATGATCCACTGCTTGTTCGGCCTCCCAAAGTGTTAGAATTTTTTTTTTTTTGACAAGATCTCACTCTGTCACCCAGGCTGGAGTGCAATGGTGCAATTATGGCTCACTACATCCTCAGTCTCTGGGTTCAAGCAATCCTCCTGCCTTAGCCTCCCATGTAGCTGGGACCACACACACACATCACCATGCCCAGCTAATTTTTAATTTTTTTTGTAGATATGTTACAGGCAGGCATGTGTAGGGTAGCAGAGGGCTCTCGCCCACCCATCAAGAACGTCAGATGATGGTTCAACAATGATCTCATTACCTCTCTAAAAATGATAATTTGGCAGCTAGGCTCCCAGGAGAGACAATCTCCTAATGGTCCACAGACGTTAACATTAAAGTGTTCATTGAATGCAGGGGCAGGTAGAAGCAAAAAGGGCTTCCAATAAAATCTCAGGTGTTGGATGAGTGAGCCCGGGAATGCACATTAAGAGAAAAAATTGGAGGAGTATGAACTTCCGGGGGCACGCTCCACCGGAAAAGGGAAGAAAGCCTCAGATGGGCATGCGCACAACTTCCTAAACACCCTGAGTGTGCTCACTTCCCAAGGGTAAGGACACTGCACATGCAGGCAGCCCATCCTAAGGGAAGAATCAGGGTGAGAGGCACATGACACTGGAGGTGGGCCAGGCTGTAAAGGGCTAGGACCAAAGTTAAACACTGCACTTGTTCTTCAAGTTGCCCACTTAGGACTCTTCCAAGTGTACTTTTCATTCTTTCCTGATCTAAAGCTATTTAATAAACTCCCATTCCTGCTCTGAAACTTGCCTCAGTCTCTTTTTCTGCCTTATGCCCCCAGTCGAATTCTTTCTTCTGAGGAGGCAAGAACTGAGGTTGCTGCAAATGCATACAGATTCTCTGCCAGTAACTCAGACGCCTTCTACCAGTAACAGACACAGGAGTCTCGTTTTGTTGCCCAGGTTGGTCTTGAACCCCTGTACTCAAACAATCCTCCCACCTTGGCCTCCCAAAATGTTAGGATTACAGCCATGAACCACCACACCTGGCCTGAATTTTAAATTTTGTTGAATTTTAATCCATTTAAATCTAAGTAACTACATGTGGCTAGTATAAACTAAAAATAAAATTTGAAGGCTCCCCCTACCAGCAATCTGCAACTATCTGAATGGACTCCCTCCTTGGCCAACAAACTCTAAAATTTAACCTGAAAGACTGGTTCAGGCCAGGACGGGAAGCGGGGGTTGGACATGCCTCATTAATAACCTCCACCATTAACGTTAACAAAGACCTTAAGTCTGATGAGAAACATGAACAATCTGTTTTCTTTTTCTTTTTCTTGTTTTTTTTGAGATGGAGTTTTGCTCTTTTTGCCCAGGCAGGAGTGCAGTGGCGCGATCTCGGCTCACCGCAACCTCCACCTCTTGGATTCAAGCAATTCTCCTGCCTCAGCCTCCCAAGTAGCTGGAATTACAGGCGCCCGCCACCACATCTGGCTAATTTTGTATTTTTAGTAGCGATGGGGTTTCACCATGTCAGTCAGGCTGGTCTTGAACTCTTGATCTCAGATGATCCACCTGCCTTGGCCTCCCAAAGTGCTGGGATTACAGGTGTGAGCCACTGCACCCAGCCAGGATTTTTTTTTAAGGTACATACTGTGTGATTTCATCATGCAAAGTTCAAAATTATATTAACAGAGTTCAAGACACAGCTGCCTTTGGTGCTATTGACTAGGAGGAGTAAGAGTGAGCCTTTTGAGGAGCTGAAAATGCCCTATATCTTGTTCTGATGGTAGTGATGAGGGGTCTGCATAGGTTCAAATCCATTAATTTCTGTGTAAATTCAAGATTTGGGCACGTAGTAAGGTGTAATTTTTACCATATATATGTTATATATATAAAACAGTAAGTAATATTTATATTATATATGTGTAATCCTATCTATTACGTATGATTATGTGCTCTAAAGAAAATAGGCCAGGCGTGGTGGCTCATGCCTGTAATCCCAGCACTTTGAGAGGCTGAGGTGGATGGATCACCTGAGGTCAGGAGCTCGAGATCAGCCTGACCAACATGGAGAAACCCCATCTCTACTAAAAATAAAAGCTTAGGTGAGCATGACGGCATGTATCTGAAATCCCAGCTACTCTGGAGGCTGAGGCAGGAAAATCACTTGAAGCTGAGAGGCATTGCACTTCAGCCTGGGCACCAAGAGCCAAAAGCAAAACTTTGTCTCAGAAAAAAAGAAAAAGAAAATAAAGGCCGGGCACAGTGGCTCACGCCTGTAAACCCGGCACTTTGGGAGGCTGAAGCGAGCAGATCACCTGAGTTCAGGAGTTTGAGACCAGCCTGGCCAACATCGTGAAACCCCCTCTCTACTAAAAATACAAAAATTAGCCACCCATAGTGGTACATGCCTGTAGTCCCAGCTACTTGGGAGGCTGAGGCAGGAGAATGGCTTGACCCTGGGAGGCAGAGGTTGCAGTGAGCCCAGATCGTGCCTTTGCACTGCAGCCTGGGTGACAGAGCAAGACTCCATCTCAAACAAAAAAGAAAAAGAAAAAAAAAGAAAGAGTGAGAGAGAAAGAAAGAAAGAAAGAAAGAAAGAAAGAAAGAAAGAAAGAAAGAAAGAAAGAAGAGAAAAGAAAAGAAAGAGAGAGAAGGAAAGAAAATAAAGCAAGAAAGGAGGATTGGATTGGCCATAGCTGCCTCACGGCCTCCCTTCTTACATGCTTACTAGTGACCTCCCCCAGGTGCCCCTCACCTTCCCCATTCTCACTTCCACCTCCCCAGCCACCTCAGGTCAATTCTTCCCAGAACAGCTAGAGGTGTCTTTTTAAAAAGATAATTCTCACAAAATCATTCTCTGAATTCCAAGCCATTACAGGGGTTCTGAATCCATACCTGGCCTGGCCCCAGGGCATTAGTGCTTGCTGGCCCTCTGCCTGGAGGACCCTGTTCTGTGCTCTTTGCCTGGCTGCCTCCCTCTCCTGCCTCTGGCTGAAGCCTTCCTGGACACGAGCAGAACAGTCCCCATCACCTGGTTGTACTTTATTCACAACACTTATGTCTCTCTGAAATCATCTTATTTATACATTTAAAAAATCATTTATCACCGGGCGCAGTGGCGCATGCCTGTAGTCCCAGCTACTTGGGAGGCTGAGACTGGAAGATTGCTTGAGCCCAGGGGTTCTGGGCTGTAGTGCACTATGCTGATCTGGTGTCCGCACTAAGTTTGGCATCAATATGGTGATCTCCTGGGGGCGGGGGACCACCAGGTTACCTAAGGAGGGGTGAACCGGCCCAGGTTGGAAACAGAGCAGGTCAAAACTCCCGTGCTGATCAGTAGTGGGACCGCGCCTGTGAATAGCCACTGCACTCCAGCCTAGGCAACATAGCGAGATCCTGTCTCTTAAAAGAAAAAAAAATCATTTATCTCCCCCTGCTAGCACCTCAGCTCTAGGAAACAGATCTTCTGCTCTTATGTTCACTGCTGTATTTCTCAGCCCCTTGGACTAAAGTCCTTACACATTGCAGTCCTTACACTTTGCTATTCCTTGAATATACCGGCACGTTTCCACCCCTAGACCTTTGCCCTGGCTGTTCCCTCCACCTGGAATGTTCTTATTCAAGAGACCTCCCTGCTTTGCCATTAGGAAGGAACTCCCTTTAGGTCTTTGCTAAAATTTCACATTCTTAGTAAGCTCTTCCCTGAGCACCCCATTTAAAACTGCAAACTCTGGCCAGGCAGAGTGGCTTACGCCTGTAATCCAGCACTTTGGGAGGCCAAGGTGGGTAGATTGCTTGAGGTCAGGAGTTGAGACCAGCCTGACCAACACAGTAGAACCCCATCTCTACTAAAAGTACAAAAAAAAAAATTAGCTGGGTGTGGTGGTGGGCACGTATAATACTCAGGAGGCTGAGACAGGGGAATTGCTTGAACCCAGGAGGCGGAGGTTGCAGTGAACTGAGATCGCCCCACTGCACTCCAGCCTGGGTGACAAAGTGAGACTTCATCTCAAAACACAAACAAAACACCTGCAAACTCTTCTCCCACCACCACTCCCATGGCCCATTTCTTATTTTCCCTTTCCTTGCATATTTATCACCTGAGATAAATATTAACATATTTTACTTCTTTGCCTCACACACTAGAGTGACAACTTCACAAGGACAAGGATTTTTATCAGCCATATCCCTAAATGTAGAAACAGAATTTACATATGGTAGGTACTCCATAAAATGTGTTTTATGAGTGAATATCTGTCTCCATTACCACATGTGCGCATGGGGGCGTGGGGGGGGCTCTCTCACACTCACCTCTGTGGCAGCAGCACCTGGCACTGCCCTGGCACAGCTCCCAGGACCAGGGTGTTTTCTCTTTCCTCCGAGACATCCTCCACGCAACACTCCCTGCTGCCCCCACTTCCGGACTTCTCCCACACCAGCCTCCACGCCCACTCACCTCCCCAAACAGTACAGGACAGTAGAGAAGGAGGTGACTGCACTCTCCAGCTTTCTTACCAAAAGCTTGTTTGTTGGAGAAAATGAACCCCTGGTGAGGACTAAGAGAAAGGAGGGGAGAAGGAGCAGCAGCAGCCACTGGGGTAGCATCATGGCCCACAGGTGGTGGTGGCTTTTCCAAGGTCCAGCTGAATAACCTGCACACCAACTGTGTGGGTGTCCTCCGGGCTGTGGGAACACTGGTAAAACCAGCACCCGATGCTGTCAGAATTTTCCCATCCTGCACAAAGCTCGGGCTAGGCCAATCAGCAAATTCCACCACAAGGTTTAGTTCAGGCAGACTAAGCCAGTCCAATCAGGACCGATCTTAGGATGTTTGCTGAGAATTGTGGAACAGAAATGTTTTCTTTCTCTGCAAGGAACAGTATGAATGTACAAGGTGCAGTTAAGAGCCTGGCCTCTGGGGCAGGATTGTCTGGGTTCAAGTCTCAGCTCCAACCCTTACTCTAGGAGCCTCAATAACCTGTCTGTGAAACAGGGATAATTATTACACCTACTATGCACCTGTTGTCACAGAAAGATGAGTCGATACAGTTAAGAAACCACTTTGGGCCAGGCGCAGTGTCACATGCTTGTAATCCCAGCACTTTGGGAGGCTGAGGCAGGAGGATCACTTGAGCCCAGGAGCTCAAGACCAGCTAGGGTAATACAGTGAGACACCATCTCTATTAAAAAAGAGAGAGAGAGAGACCAGGTGAGGTGGCTCATGCCTGTAATCCCAGCACTTTGGGAGGCCAAGGTGGGCAGATCACCTGAGGTCAGAAGTTTGAGGCCAGCCTGACCAACATGGAGAATCCCCATCTCTGCTAATAATACAAAAATTAGCTGGGCATGGTGGTGTTTGCCTGTGATCCCAGCTACTCAGGAGTCTGAGGCATGAGAATAACTTGAACCCAGGAGGCAGACATTGTGGTGAACTGAGATCAAGCCATTGCACTCCAGCCTGGGCAACAAGAGTGAAACTCTGTCTCAAAAAACAAAAAGGAAATAAATTACCTGGGCATGGTGGCACACACCTGTAGTCCCAGTTACTTGGGAGGTTGATGTGGAGGATCCCTTGAGCCCAGGGGCTTGAGGCTGTAGTACTCTGCGATTGAGCCACTGTACTCCAGCCTGGATGACAGAGTGACATCCTGCCTCAAATTATTAAATTAAATAAAAAAGAAAGCACTTTGCACAGTTTCTGGAACATAAGAAGTGCTCAGTAAATCCTACCTGTTATTATTAGATGACACCTGGAACTTTCGTGACCAACGGGAAGGAATTCAGCCTGAGAGCTGCTGGCTCTGGCCCTACCAGAGGGCTGCCTGACCTCCAGGCTTCCGTTTCTGATCACCAATAAATCCCCTCCTCACCTAGACCAGTTTGGTTGGGTTTTCAGATATTTGCAGCAGAAGAGTCCTCACTGCTACCCCAATGATCATTATGTGACCTACGGCAAGTCACGTGGCTTCTCTGGGCCTCAGTTTCTTTGTCCATGCAGTGGAACTGACGGTGCCTGAGAGCGGAGGCATGGATGCACAGGTCCCCTTCCCACCACAGGCCTTTTCGCATTTCTACTGCACACATTCTCACCAGCTCTCTAATGACCTCTACCCTTTTGCTCCCCTCCACCTGCCCGGCAGAACATTCAGATACCTCCACTTAGTCTCTCCCTACACACACCCCTCCGCAGACACCCCAGCATAAACACTCCAGGCACATTCCTCAATCCGGCCTCTTCCACACTGCCCTCCAGCCCTCCAGCCCCTGCTCCCCTACACCCTCCCTGCGCCATTCCCTTCCTCCTGTGCCATTCCATTCCATTCCATTTCTACCCTGAGCTCCGGACAGGGCCAAACCCAATGAGAAGCTCGTTCATGCCTCCAGTCTCTCCTTTTGCCTGCCCCCTAGACTGGTACAATCCCCACCAGGTCCCCTCACCCAGAAAGTACAGACAGAGGCCAGGGCCAGGAAATGACTTTAATGTCTCAGGAGCTGGATTTGGAGCAAGTTGGTGGTGCCCAGGGCCTCTGGCCCCAAAGGAGCAGTGACCAGCCTGCATCTTCCTCTAAATGATATGGCACCGGCGGGAACACATCAAGTCCTCAGATATGCACGTCAAGCCCACTCGGCAAGGGCAGATGATGTTGACGGCTCCCTTGGTCTGCAGGGAGTGGGTATGAGAATTGGGAGTCACCAGGATGCAGGAAGGATGGGGACTTCAACTTCTCAGAAACCAGAACCAAGAGTACCAGGGCTGGAGTAAGACAGGCCTGTGCTGTTTCTACAGCTGATAACTGCGGTGACCTTCAGTAAGTTAATGAACCTCTCCAGCTCAGTTTCCTCATCTGTCAAATGTGGACAATAACAAATACCTACCTCATAGGGTTGTTATGAGGACTAAATGAGATAAAGCAGAACAAATGGCCATAATAACAAGACTCTCTAGGCCGGGTGTGGTGGCTCACGCCTGTAATCCCAGCACTTTGAGAGACTGAGGCAGGTGTATCACCTGAGGTCAGGATTTCAAGACCAGCCTGGCCAACATGGTAAAACCCCGTCTCTACTAAGAATAAAAAATTAGCTGGGCATGGTGGCGCATGCCTGTAATTACAGTTACTCCACAGGCTGAGGCAGAGGAATTGCTTGAATCTGGAAGGGGGAGGTTGCAGTGCGGCAAGATCACGCCACTGCACTCCAGCCTGGGCAATAAGAGCAAAACTCCATCTGAAAACAACAAAAACCCTTTAGCCACTTCAGCTGTAGGCCACGGCAGGGGCCCTGCTGCTTCCTTAGGGCCTTGGCAACTCCCCATACAGGGACACGGAGGCTGGGCCCATGGCTAGGCCCATCCACCCCAGAAAGGTTTGTGCCCAGGGCCAGGAGAGCAGGAACAGGGGGTCCTGAGCATTCTGCTCCCTGCATTCCTAGCAGCAAGTGACAACCATGCTGGATGGCACACTGTCCGTGCCAGGACCACGTAGTCTTCCCAACAGCCTGGTGAGGTAGGTACTTAACCACTCCTTGTAGATGAGGAAACTAAGGCTCAGAGAGCCATGATGGCCTGCCTGAGGTTGCAAAGATAGGGTGCTGGAAGTCAGGATTTAAACTCAGGACCAACTCCAAAGCTGTGGTCCTGCCACTGCAGTGCCATGCTCCTCTCAAGAAATCATGTCGGCCGGGTGCCATGGCTGACGCCTGTAATCCCAGCACTTTGGGAGGCCAAGTCAAGCAGATCACCTGAGGTTGGGAGTTCAAGACCAGCCTGAATAACATGGAGAAACCCCGTCTCTAATTTAAAAAAAGAAATTAGCTGGGCATGGTGGTGCATGCCTCTCATCTCAGCTACTCTGGAGGCTGAGGCAGGAAAATCGCTTGAACCCAAGAGGTGGAGGTTACCATGAGCCGAGATGGCGCCATTGCGCTCCAGCCTGGGCAACAAGAATGAAACTCTGTCTCAAAAAATCATGTCCCTGTGGCAGGGAGATGGGGACTAGTAAGGAGAAGGTCATTTCCCACTTACCCTGCCTCAGTGATGTGAAAGAAGAGATATTCATTCAACAAGCATTAATTAATTGGCCGGGTGCTGTGGCTCATGCCTGTGATCCCAGCACCTTTGGAGGCTGAGGCAGGTGAATCACCTGAGGTCAGGAGTTTGAGACCAGCTTGGCCAACATGGCAAAAGCCCATATCTACCAAAAATATGAAAATTGGCTGGGCATAGTGGTGCATGCCTGTAATCCCAGCTACTTGGGAGGCTGAAGCACAAGAATTGCTTGAACCAGGGAGGCAGAGGTTGCAGTGAACCAAGATCGTGCCATTGCACTCTAGCCTGGGTGACAGAGCAAGACTCCATCTCAAAACAAACAAAACCAAGCATTTATTGAGCACCTACTATGTGCAGACACTAAGCTGGGGGTACATGCTTCGTAGATGAATATGATGCAATCCCTGCCCTTGAAGAGTTCCAACCACTGGGAGAGGCAGAGAAAAAAACGTTAGGGAGATACATGCTTTGCTGAGGGTCTGAGCCCAGGATACAAGAGCTCCAAGGAGGGAAGGCTTCTTAGAGGAGGTGGCTGGAGTTGTTTTGCACAATGAGTAGGAGTTTGCCAAGTGGAGAAGGGGAAGGGCACTCCAGACAGAGGTGAAAAAACAGGTGGGGCCAGGTGTTTTTTTAACCCCTTCTGCCCACTTCTCTATTTGCCAAAAGAGGCTGCCCCACCCCAGAGCCTCACCTGGGGCAAGCAGATCATGGTTCTTCTGGCCCTGGGGGCACAGAAGGCTCCACCCGAATCCAAGTCCAGGAGGCAGCAGCCACTGAAGCACTCAGAGTGGTGGAAGCATCTGTCTGTGATACTCTGTGGGGACAGACAGGATGTCTGCCAGGCTGGGACAATCCCTGAGTTGTGTGGGAGAGGAGGGGAGGGTTCCCCCCATTGTCAAAGAACCCAGGGGTCCAGGCGAAGTCATGAGGTTGTCGCCCCTGGTCCCTTCCAGACCCCCCACCGCACCGGCCGCACCCCTCCCTCGGAGGACCCAGGGAAGCAGAGGAGAGGAGAGAGGGATTAGCACTTTTCCCTCCACCTCTCCTTTCCTGGACCCCCTTCACCTCCATGAGTCCCACAGGGTGTGTGTACTCTTAAATCCCACTTTGCTGTGTGGGGTTTGGGAGATGAGAATGAGGGGGCTGTGTGCTCGACAGGGAGGGAGAGAAAGAGAAGAGGGGAGAGCCCTCGTGCCTGGAAGAATCACTGGGCAGTGAGGGGAGGCCGGGAAGAGGGGGAGAAACCAGAGCTGGCAGGGAGGGTTTGGCTGGGGGCACCTCGGGGAGGGAGGCGAGCCCAGGACAGAGGTCATCGGAAAGGGGCACGGACGGGGGAGGTGGGGGGGAGCGAGGGTGCCGGTCATAGGCCAACTTCTCTCCGCTCCGCGGCCTCCAGGGAAAGTGAAGAGGCTTTTAAAGTCAGTCCGAGGATGCCCCAAGCTGCCCGCCTGGGCGGATGCCCCCCAGCTCTGGGTGGTTCCGGACCCACCTCTCCCTCCGAGGCTGCCCGGGCTGCGGGGCCACCCTCACTGCTGTCGCGGCGGGCTGGGTGCGCTCCCAGCTCACCTTTTTAAAGTGCGGAAGCGCGCTCCAGCGCGGCAGCCCCGCCTCCGCCAGGACCCCCGCCAGGATCCCCGCCAGGATCCCCGCCACCAGCGCCAGGGCTGCGGCCATGGGCCTGCGCGGCAGAGCAGCGGCGGGGCTCGGGGGGCTGCGGGATAAACCCTCTCCCCGGCCACGTGACCCGGCGCCCCAGGCCACCCCCGCGGAGGAGGGCGTGGAGGGCGAGGACGCTGTGGTCGTCGGGCCGGACGCGGCGCTGCGCGCCGGAGGAAGGGAAGGAGGAGGGGAAACGGCGCTCAGGCTCGCACAGGCGGGATTCTAGACGGTAGGGGCCCTAGGGGGCTTCCAGACGTGTTGCTTCCAAGTAGAAGCTTGAAAATGTAAGATAAAACCCTATTTTTATTGTGTTTATTTATTTTCCAGACAGAGTCTCGCTCTGTCGCCCAGGCTGAGGTGCAGTGGCGCGGTCCTCCTGCCTCAGCTTAACGAGTATCTGGGGCTACAACTGGGCCCCACCACACCCGGGTAATTTTAAAAATTTTTGTAGAGACGGTGGCGGGTGCGGGGGGACTCTCCCTATATTGCTCAGGCTGGTCTCGAACTCCTGGCCTCAAATGATCGTCCTGCTTCAGCCTCCCGAAGTGCTGGGATTACAGGTGTGAGCCACCGCGCCTGGCCCCAAAACTTTATTTTTATAAACGGCACAAAACCGATACGCTGAAACAAAAAGAGCTTCCTTCCTGATGTTGATTCTCTGTCTGCCCTTGCAGCCCCTGGTCTCCCCTTACCTTAGGGATAATCCAGCCTCACTCTCTGGTGCTGCTCACACTCGCTTCTGTAAGAACCAGGAGGTGAGACAAGATGATCTTTAAGTCTTTTTTTTTGAGACGGAGTCTCACTCTATGCCCAGGCTGGAGTGCAGTGGCGCGATCTTGGCTCACTGCAACCTCTGCCGCCCTGGTTCAAGCAATTCTCCTGCCTCAACTTCCCAAGTACCTGGGATTACAGGCACCTACCACGGTGCTTGGCTAATTTTTGTATTTTTGGTAGAGATGGGGTTTCATCATCTTGGCCAGGCTGGTCTTGAACTTCTGACTTCGTGATCCACCTGCCTCGGGCTCCCAAGGTGCTGGGATTACAGACATGAGCCACCAGGGCCGGCTCTAAGTCTTCAATCTCTAGCAGTTTTAAACATTCTATTAATTGCCTAAAGATTCGTCTGAATTGTGTGAAAGTCAAGATGTGGGGGCGAAATGGAGGGGTGGGAAGAGAAGAAAACAGAATAGGGAGGAGGGTAAAGAGAGAGCTGCACAGAGCAACAATTGTGGAACCGGGGCCTTCCTCAGCACTTCCCTGTGGATGAAGCTTCCACCTCACCCTACCTTTCTGCTTTCGCTTTTTTAAATTTCTGTTTTTAAAAAATTTTTGTATTGAGGCCGGGCGCGGTGGCTCAAGCCTGTAATCCCAGCACTTCAGGAGGCCGAGGTGGGTGGATCACGAGGTCAACAGATCGAGACCATCCTGGTCAACAAGGTGAAACCCTGTCTCTACTAAAAATACAAAAATTAGCTGGGTATGGTGGCGCATGCCTGTAATCCCAGTGACTTGGGAGGCTGAGGCAGGAGAATTGCCTGAACCCAGGAGGCGGAGGTTGCGGTGAGCCGAGATCGCGCCATTGCACTCCAGCCTGGTAACAAGAGCGAAACTCTGTCTCAAAATAAATAAATAAATAAATAAATTGTATTGTTAATATTTTTTTATACAGACAGGTTCTTCCTATGTTGTCCAGGCTGATCTTGAACTCACAGTCTTAAGAGATCCTCCTGCGTAGACCTCCCAAAGTGGTGGGGTTACAGGCCTGAGCCGCCATGTCCAGCCTGCTTCTGCTTTTGAAGTTTTGCTTAAGAAATGAACTGAGGGCTGGGCACGGTGGCTCATACCTGTAACCCTAGCACCTTGGGAAGCCAAGGCCGGTGGGTCATGAGGTCAGGAGTTCAAGACCAACCTGGCCAAGATGGTGAAACCTCGTCTCTACTAAAAATACAAAAAAAAATAGCAGGGCATGGTGGTGGGTGCCTGTAATCTCAGCTACTCAGGAGGCTGAAGCAGAGAATTGCTTGAATCCAGGAGGCAGGGGTTGCAGTGGGCCGAGATCATGCCACTGCACTCCAGCCTGGGCGACACAGAGAGACTCTCTGTCTCAAAAAAAAAAAAAAAAAAATGAACTGAAGAATCCTGTCTTGGTGGGGAATTTAGGTATTTTCTCCGAGAATAACAGCCCTCACCGCACTGAGAGGGCCTTGTATCCGTTATTTCAGTGAGCCCTCGCTGTATTAACACTAGCTGTCACAGAGTAATTAACACTGGCTGTCACAACAGAACTGGAATTTAGTGGCTTGGCACAATCATGCTTTATGTAAAGTCTGATTTGGGGCAAGAGCCCCCTTTTCCATCCTGTAGCCATGCCATCTATAAGACTGGCCTCTGGCTGGGCATGGTGGCTCATGCATGTAATCACAGCACTTTGGGAGGCCAAGGTAAGAGGATCTCTTGAGCTCAGGAGTTCAAGACCAGCCTTGGCAACATAGTGAGACCTCATCACTACAAAAAAAAAAAATTAGCTAGTCACGGTGGCACATGCCTGTAGTCCTGGCTATCCCGGAAGCTGAGGCAGGAGGATCTTTTGAGCACTGGAAGTTGAGGCTGCAATGAGTTATGATTGTGCCACTGCACTCCAGCATGGGCAACAGAGTGAGACCCTGTTTCAAAAAAAAAATAAAAGACTAGGCCAGGAGTAGTGGCTCATGCCTGTAATACCAGCACTTTGGGAGGCTGAGGCGGGGGCGGATCACCTGAGGTTGGGAGTTCAAGACCAGCCTGACCAAAGTTGAGAAACCCCTTCTCTACTAAAAATACAAAAAAAAATTAGCCTGGTGTCCTGGCACATGCCTATAATCCCAGCTACTCGGGACACTAAGGCAGGAGAATCCCTTGAACCCAGGAGGCAGAGGTTGCAGTGAGCTGAGATTGTGCCATTGTACTCCAGCCTGGGCAACAAGAGCAAGATTCCATCTCAAAAAAAAAAAAAAGACTAGCCTCCAAAGTCACCATAGAAGACCTGCCTTCAAACCACCTGTTGGAACTAGTCACATGTCCCCAACCTTCCAACCTTCTGCATGGGAGGCTTGGACTGTTTAGCATCTACCATCATTTCTGCTGTGTAACTCGTAACTCTTTTTTTTTTTTGAAAAGGAGTCTCGCTCTGTCACCCAGGCTGTAGCGCAGTGTCTCGATCTCGGCTACTGCAACCTCAACCTCTCAGGTTCAAGTGATTCTTCTGCTTCAGCCTCCCAAGTTAACTGGGACTACAGGTGTGTGGCACCACGCCCAGCTAATTTTTAGTGGAGATGGGGCTTCACATCATATTGGCCAGACTGGTCTCAAACTCCTGACCTCCCACCTCAGCCTCCCAAAGTGCTGGGATTACAGGGGTAAACCACCACGCCAGGCCTCTGCTCTGTAACTCTTTTTAAAATTATTTATTTATTTAATTTATTTTGAGACGGAGTTTCACTCTTGTTACCCAGGCTGGAGTGCAGTGGCGCGATCTCAGCTCACCACAACCTCTGCCTCCTGGGTTCAGGCAATTCTCCTGCCTCAGCCTCCTGAATAGTTGGGATTACAGGCACGTGCCACTATGCCCAGATAATTATTTGTATTTTTAGTAGACACGGGGTTTCACCTTGTTGACCAGGATGGTCTCGATCTCTTGACCTCATGATCCACCTGCCTCAGCCTCCCAAAGTGCTGGGATTACAGGCTTGAGCCACCGCGCCCGGCCTTATTTATTTATTTTGAGACGGAGTCCTGCTCTTGTTACCCAGGCTGGAGTGCAATGGCAGGATCTTGGATCACCACAACCTCCACCTCCTGGGTTCAAGCAATTCTCCTGCCTCAGCCTCCCAAATAGCTGGGATTCCATGCATGCGCCACCATGCCCGCGCCACCATGCCCAGCTAATTTTGTATTTTTAGTAGAGACAGGGTTTCTCCATGTTAGTCAGGTTGGTCTCGAACTCCCAACCTCAGGTCCTTTGCCCGCCTCAGCCTCTCAAAGTGCTGGGATTAGAGGCATGAGCCACTGCACCCAGCCTGTAACCCTTATCTCTATTTTACAGACTAGGAACTTGAAGGCTCAAGGTAAAGTAACTTGCCCAAGTAAGAGATTAAATGGCAGAGTCAGATATAAATGCAGGGCATTCTAGCTCCTGGGTCCAAGTTCTTACCACTGTTCTACACTGCTATTGGCAGCCAGAGAGTTTTGCCCCTAGTAAGGGGTTTCCCATCATTACTGTGTTCCCTCCTCCAGCAGTCTCAGTCTGAGCTCTCTTCATATGTGTGTTCTGTTATCTTGGTTGACTAGCGACCCATCCACGCAGACCATTTGTGAACTGGAGAGGAGGCCTAGGACGGATACTTCCTTGTACTGCTTCACTAGCTTCTTTTGCCCAAAGACACATGAGTATTAGACACTTGAGAAGTATTGTTGACTGCTTAGGAAAGTGGTAAATTTGAGGTCAAGGGGCCAGCAGCTGTGTGTCAGGGTTGGTAGCCCCTGGGAAACCCACTGAAGGTCCTGGAATTCTGTATAAAATCTTACGTGCATGCTTTGTTTTCTTTTTCTTAAGCTGGAGATCTTCCAGTTTCCTCAAAAACGACTGGTTCAGAACCTTTATTTTCTGTTGAGGAAACTGAGGCCCAGAGAGGGCAGGGACTTCTCCCAGTGACTCAGCTGGTAAGTAGCAGAGCCAGGCCTAGCCCTGGGCTCCTGACTCCAAGTGCTGTGCTCTTTCTCCTGTACCATGGCCTGCCAGCAGTGGTCACAAGCACATGTCCAGGTACCTCTGTATTGCAGGGAGTAGGAATCAGATCACCAGGGCCTCCAAGGCCGGGAATCACTGACCTGTCAGCATGGCCACAGCTCTGCCCAGGGCCTAAAACTGGCCACCTCAGACTTCAGTGAGCAGAAGGGGGTCAGTTCAGGACAGGGAGAACCTTTGGTGAACTTCTTACCCCAATTTCCTGCCCCTTCACCTTCCCCTCCTCTGACAGTCTCTAATGTCTTAC